GGGCCTGCAACCCCTGTAGACCTGCTACAGCTATGATTTTTGCACTAAAACATCCCGGAACCTACCCAGAACTCCCGGAACTTCAAACCAATTATACCAATACATCCCATGACATCATTCAAACTTGATCAACACTTCGGAACGCTTATAACAACATCAAATCACCAATTTAACATAGGATTCAAGCCTAAGAACTCCAAGAACTCTTAAATTATGTTTTCGATCAAAAACTGTATCCAATCTCGTCCGAATGACCTGAAATTTTGCACACACATCCCAAATGACATGACAGAGCTACTAAAACTTCCGGAATTCCATTCCGACCCTCGGATCAAAATCTCACTATCGGACCCGAAACTTCAAAAATTCAAGCTTCGGCATTTCAAGCCTAAATTAGCTACGGGCCTCCAAAACACATTCCGAACACGCTCCCAGCCCCAAATTTACCTAACGGAGCTAACGGAACCGTCAGATTTCCATTCAGAGGCTGTCTCCCCACTATTCCGACTTCGGTCAACTTTCTAACACTTAAGCTCTCATTTAGGGACTACGTGTCCCAAAACTCCTCAAAACTCAAAACCGAGCATCCCGGCAAATCACATTAGTAGAAATAAACTTGGGGAAAGCAGTTAATAGGGGATCGAGGCATTATTTCTTAAGACGACCGGCCGGGTCGTCACATCCTCCTACACTTAAACATTCATTCGTACTCGAACGAGCATAGAGACATACCTGAAGTAGTGAAAAGATGAGGGTAATGGCTGCGTATATCCTGCTCGGTCTCCCAGGTCGCCTCCTCGACTGGCTATCCCCGCCACTGAACCTTTACCGAAGAAATGTTCTTTGACCTCAACTTTCTAACTTGCCTGTCCAATATTGCCACTGGCTCCTCAACATAGGATAGATCCTTGTCCAGCCGGACTGAACTGAAATCCAGCATGTGCGACGGGTCACCATGATACCTTTGGAGCATCGAAACATGAAATACTGGATGCACTCCTGCCAAGCTGGGAGGTAAGGCAAACTCATAAGCAAACTCCCCAACTCACCTCAATATCTCAAAAGGGCCAATAAACCTTGGACTCAACTTCCCTTTCTTCCCAAACCTCATGACGCCCTTCATAGGTGAAACCCGAAGCAAAACCCGCCCACAAACCATATAGGAAACATCACAAACTTTCCGGTCCGCGTAACTCTTCTGTCTGGACTGGGCTGTACAGAGTCTGTCTTAAATCACCTTAACCTTTTCCAATGCACCCTGAACTAAGTCCGTACACAATAATCTAGCCTCGCCCGGCTCAAACCAACCCACCGGAGATCTACACCATCTCACATATAAAGCCTCATACGGTGCCATCTGAATACTGGACTGATAGCTGTTGTTGTAAGCAAACTCCGCCAATGGCAAGAACTGATCCCAAGACCCTCCAAACT